GGATTCATTTACGAAAGCTTCTTAACCAAATTCATTTCGTTTCAATCAGATGAAATCAGATCCAACATATGCGATTCTTTATTCAAAAGATAAATTTTTCCAAGCGTGGAAGCATGCGAGTCCATTTCCAATATTTAAGTTCACAATATCAATTTTCCGATTATGGTTTAGCAGACTTTTATTTCTATTTCCTTATCTGATCGGAATGTTTTTGTCGTCCCTTTTTATTTATAACTTGACCACCCGCCTTTCTCTACATATTTTTCTTTTTATTCTTAAGTGTTCATTGAAGCCTCTCAAAAGTTGTTCTTAAAAATCCTTTCTTCTTTAACTAAACTGTTAGGAATTGCAATATAAAACAAGCGTTCAACAGCAGATAACAGCGACAATAACCATAAGTTTTTCTCGTTTCTCGTTTTTTATATAGATTAGACCGTTGGTTTTCCTGTTTGAATTGTTTTACACTAGTCTTTTGGGGCCCTTTATAGCTTGCTGCTCGGTGTGAGCCAAGGCTCCGTGTTGAAGGCCGTACTTTGACCTATAATTGTTTACTTTTCACACATTGTGACTTGGATGGATAGTTGTCTCATTAGCACTCATACCACATCTTCTTATTTATAAGAACTGAATAATAATAATACATATGAACGATTAAGCGCCTGTAAAAAATGTTCTGATCGGACTTAAATAAGTGCCGTTAGATCTAGTTGGACGCTAAACAGGTGATTGTACAATACTGACGAATCCACGTAGTAGGACGTGAAATGTGCATGAGCAAAATTAATCTTAGAATTGGGGTCTTCCAACTGCACCAACATGTTCACGGACTATTTTTGTCTTTCAGGGGGTACTTATCGTTGAATATAATGCTGTGTTTAAGAAAAAACAGTGCACTTGTAGATTGATTACAGAAGTATGTGACGAATTTACTGGAGCAATATTTTTATTGACAACTTCAAGCAACCAACAATTAAAATAACACTTTATACATTTGATGAACAGCTTGCTCGATTTAAAGTGTTTATTTCCATTAGAATGTCATTGATGTGCTGAGTATCCAATCATTTTGTTACTAACAGGTTAATGAGATCACCACGTGAATTTATAATAATGAATTAAATCAATAACGATTATTATATTTACGTAAATGATTAAATGTGCATATATTATTTGCAAAACAGGTGTTCAGCTTTTAAATCATTTAGAAATATTAACAATGAATTGACACAATTAAAAGATGTTAAATAATTTTTAAACAGTGTACTTCCTTTGATACCTAGGATAGAAAAGCCTAATTGTTCCGAACAGTTCAATATTTTATAAACAACAAATTAACAGAAAAGTGAACATATCAATGAAAGTTCATACCAACACAAAACTACTGACTACTGGGCTGGTGATACCCTCGGGAACGAAACGTCCAACAGTAGTGGCATAGACCCATTGATAAAAACTCAAAAAAGATATTATAGAATTTCTTTTGAGGCTAGAAACATTTCTCACACAAAACTATGAATCATTTAAGTGTGTTCTAGCTAACTTGTTGGTACTCCGTTGTTACAGCTCCTTACCTTTGTTTCAAGTGTCGGTGTCTAGCCTTCTACCATCAGAAGAATTAATCTTTTGAATGCGAAATCTAGGGGGTATTATGTTAATCGATTTGTAATTTGTAGTTTGTGCAGTTGTTTGCCTGTTCCGTATTGGGTCAAAGACTTGGTTTACCACAAAGTATACCATCAAGATGTGGTCACATGAATACACATTTTTATTATAATGTGAACTTGTAAAACAGAACTTTTCCTTTCCTTTTTGTGTTTTTCTGCTATGCATGCACTGATTTTGAGTCATGGATAGATACCCCACATTCTTTCTTTTCCATTAAATTAAGGTTCATTGAACATTGAAATGTGACAGTGCCAGCGGGGCATGATTTCATATGGAGAATATTATCTTTTAATTTAAAAGATATTTAACATAAATTGAGAAAGTAGTCATTAGGAATTCCAGTTTCTTATCTCTCATGCATTGATCTTGGAACTTCATAGAAATGTGTTGTGGTGCTTATCGGTTATTTTCGCTGTTATCTACTGTTGAACGCTTGTTTTAGATTGCAACTCCTAAGTATCTTGGCTATTTACATCATAGAAGAGACAGTGACTTTTAAGATACTGATTTGTTGCATCAAATTCGTGCTACAAACGGTTCTTATTACCACGAAAACCACCAAACAACCTTAGTCACCTTAGATAAAAAAATAAAAACGCCTGAGCCTACAATTATTTACCATTGTCTAGACTTTCCGTACACTTTCAAAACGGTGAATATTAACAATGAAATATCACATTTATTTAGAAAGATTTGCAATAATTTTAATATCTTAATGAAACATAAGACAACTAAGCGTAATAAAAAATCCACATCAAAGACTGACTGACAAGGTCATGACTGAAAGAAAAACAAACAAAAACGCAGGTACTAAATAGTTTCTATTGTTATAGCATACAATGAATGATGTTGTCAGGGATATTTTATGACATGGAATATTTGTAATAAAATCAATTGTCGCTTCAGGAATAAGTGATTTTGTTATTTTCGCATTTTCTAAATTTGTGTGATTTTTTTCTTTCCAAGTTTAGGCCTTCAACATTCAATTAATTAATGGAATAGAACAGGAAAGAATCCAATTCGACTGGGTTTAACAAAAAACTATTTCCATTTTTGAAAAGATATAACAGTTCGTAAATTTACTGAAGTGTTATTTACTACGTTAACTGTTTAGGTGTTCGTGTTCCCCCCCAAAAAATTTAAAAAAGTATCCAGTTAAATTACACAAATAGAAAAGGGTGAAAGGATACCAAAGGGGAAATCAAAGGTAAGAGTCGAAATAAAAGATGACAAAAACATGGCAAGAAGAAAACGAAAAAAGACTAACAATAGTCCACAAAAACACAACACAGAAAACTTAAGATTGGGCGACACGAATCCCATAAAACGGGGGACATATTCTTGTGCAACGGAATGGTTGGTAGTTCCTGCTCTTCTAGGGGACTTATAGATATTCTATCGAAATTTTTAAAAAAATGGTCTGGGAGAGTATTCAATATTAAGTTAAATTCATAAACACGGGGTCTTTTATAACCGACTCGGTGGTCTCGTGGTAGCGTGTTCGCCTCGAGTGCGGGAGGTCGAGGGTTGGAACCCCGGCCGGGTCAAACGAAAGACCTAAAAGAATTGGTATTTGCTGCTTCTTCGCTAAGCACGCGACATTAAGGAGGAAGAGCAAAGACTGGTCGGCTCGGAGTCAGACTTTTTAAATCTTTATGTTATTACCTATATATCTACCCTCAAGTTTACAAACTTGGTTTTTCGATATAGTTTGGAAGAGTTTGTGTATATTGTACGCCCTGTAATGTATCGGATAACTTAGACACACGACAATCTATAAGAATAAAGAAAAAAAACATCACTTGTATATCATTATTTTTGATATAAAAAATGACTTCAACATCTATGATATATATAAACTGTTAATACACATTGCATGTCGGTTCATAGCCTGAAAATGGGCATCAAATAATGATCAGGTAATACAATACACTATTTTTCCACCTTTTGCAAAAAACCTTCACAAAAAATTAACTAATATAATAATTAACAAACAGGTGTAACCATACGATGTGACAATTAGGTGTATAATAATTGAGCAATGAAGTAAGGGGATTTATTATTCCTTGTCATAAAAACCTAGCTAAAAATCCTATCACTTTTCCTTAATTAAACAATAAATACATAGCTTAAACAAAATTTCCCTTAATCACTCTAATTTGTCTTACCATAAACCATCTGTGTGACGCATTCCTAAGAATCAGATGATGGGTGAATCATAGCAAAAAAAAAAAAAAAAACAGAAAGAAAAAAACTACTAATATAATAATTAACGGTCAAATTTTTTGCCACACAAGAGATGGCTTTCTATGGTTTAGTAATTTGATGGAATTTTGATGTGCAAGAATCTATCATGTCAAAATGCTTGATTTCACAGTTGTTTGTAGTCATGTTAACAAGTAGCATGAAGATAACTATTTCCGCGTTGTCTTCTTTCAGCCAAGACAAGTCAGAAAGTGTTTTTGGTGGATAGATGTCTTCATGTGGACCAGTATTTTTAGCCACCATGTTGATCGGTCTAAGATACATTCAAATGAAATTAACATTTTATCGCCCTGAATATATATGTAGTGGTTGCCACTGGACCTTAATTACTTATATCAATTAATTATTCAATCAAATATTTGTTTTCGTGCATTTTTTGCATTGTTTCTTCGTGCAGAAATCATATGCAGGAGTATGTATTTGGTATATGAAAATTTAACAAAATTTTAAAATGATACTTCTATACAAAACTTGAACCTTTATTTTGATCCATCTTTGTTAGATTCGAGTTTTCTACTTTTTCTTGTTATCCTAACGACTCTATATATTCATACATCCCTGGCTTTTAAATGTTTGGGTTTGAGCGTTTCTGATGAAGGTAAATCCAGAAAGCGTTTCTGATGAAGGTAAATCCAGAAAGCGCTTCTGATGAAGGTAAATCCAGAAAGCGCTTCTGATGAAGGTAAATCCAGAAAGCGTTTCTGATGAAGGTAAATCCAGAAAGCGCTTCTGATGAAGGTAAATCCAGAAAGCACTTCTGATCAGTCTGATGCAAGAAATGCATATAGTGCATGTTATTGTAAACCGAACTTCATTAACATGCACAAACCCTTCTTCCTATACTTTTAGTTGTTTCTCTTACAAATCTGTTGATACAAACACTACATTGGATTAAAGTTAGTTCACAATGAACACAACCTTATAAAGATATACATTAAGTAGTTAATGGTACAATTGATGTCATTAAATAATCACATTATATCCAGCTTCCTATAATAAGTATTAAAATCCTTGTACGACAATTGTAATTGCTACTTATTTTTTATTAATCATCATCACTTTTTTTACAGAAATAATGCAACCAGTTCTGTTTGTGATAACAGCTTTTGTTATCCAAAGGATACAAGGATATGGAACAGGTGCCCCGCAATCTAAATGTGGAGATATGTTTCCGTTACACAGTAGAATACAACCAGAAAATGGCTTACCGCCATACACACTGACAGCTAGTTCTTACACTTACAAACAAGGCGATACAATAACAGGTAAGTCGGTGATCAGGATAAAGCATATCAAGGATTTATTTTTTCTGTATCATACAAAATGATTTAAGATCAGAAAGCACTTGAAAATAATGTTAATTGTTGTAATGATTTAAAAGAACAAAAATTTCTTCAATTATAAATACTCTGAATAATAATAATAATAATAATGATGATAATAATAATAATAATAATAATAATAATAATAATAATAATAATAATAATAGAACAGGGAAATTAAAATAATTGTAAATCTTGCTCATTGTTTATGTGTCTATAAGTAAATGTCTTCGCTGAATTATAAATTGCTAATATAGGTCTGCGTATGAAAGTATTTATAAAACAAGTAATAGCTTTTCTAAAAAAGCTAGCCGTCTCTTAGCTGATGACAGTGGCTTTGTAGATTAATTCATTCAGAATAGCCTTGCATATAAATCAGCAAATTTTACCAAACACGTTAAGAAGCAGTATACCGTTCAATGTTGGGTGTCAAATAAGGTCCTTATCGTACTAATCCTTCAAAGCTTAACATACTGGATTGACATAATCTTTTGTGAGAGACCGTTCTTTTAAAATGCCAACAGTTTTTCGTATTTGAAATTTATAATTTACTTTTATTTCTCTTTCTCTCATATAGCACATATATATAGTATATAATGGTCAATAAACCTCAAAACAACTATTCTTTATTAACCAAATGTTTTACAACATATAGGTACATATATAATTAATTTATATACTAAATATAGATTACAAAAATATACGATCATGACAAAACAGACAGAAGTATTAAATACACATAAAAATAAATACCTATAAAGACAACTAGAAGTTTGTTCTTGACCCTCCTCATTGTTTTGAAGTAATATTCATTGTTTGCTATTAGGATATTTTTTTTACATGTATTCACAACTATTTTATATATCATAGCTAGACTTGGGAGGATTAAAAAATTAAAATATTGTACTGACATGTCCATTGTAGAAGACCGTATGTTGAAATTTAGAAGTAAATTGTTTTGTTTGTTGTTTAATTGGGTTGCTGTCTAAACTAATTACGTATACTTCATATCTCCTTTAAAATCATTCATAGAAATTAAGCATTGCTGAAATATGATAGCATACATGTTCAATTGCTTTCATCGTCTGAGAGTAGTTTTATATTCTTCTTATATATATATATATTTCCCTTTCGATTTTTTTAGTCTTCTGTCCTTCATCGTCTGCTATTTTGATAGGGAGAGCTAGAAAACGTTCAACCCAGCCCAAACCCTACCCTAAAGACCGGGGGGGGGGGGGGGGGTCACTTATCACAATTTTCATTTGTAGTCAGTGAGAGGTAGGGATCAGCCACTAGAATAGGCCTATTTCAAGCTTCATGATATTTGATGAGGTCGAGAAATTTAGGTGATATTTAAGCTAAGTCAAGGTTGAAGATTAAATCTGAAACTAATCAGATGTCGATACTTTTTTTCAAATGCAATTAAAATCACTGTCGTAAATGCTTTATATATTTGTCAAGCAATGTATCCCCTATGATGAAATAGCGTAACCATGCATCATAGCTATGTGTAGACATACTAATTGTAAAAAAATATTTGATCGCTAGGGTATTTTCCTTTTACCAGACTGAGACATGTTTGTGCTTTTACCATAAAAAGGTCGCACTCCCCTTTCCGAGATAAAAATTCCCGTTTAAATTAATATCTAATCGAACATATCTCCCTTTTAGTCATGTTTGATTATTGCTTTTTGGTTTTTTTACTAAGTATAAATATTTATAATCTAGGCTAAGAAAAAAGCACGATGTTTTCATAAGTATGCTTTCGTGAACAAGATGTACGTAACAGTGAGCGACTGGATAGAACGCTGTGTTTACAATATTTCAAGAGTTTCTGCTATTTATAGATAAGTGTTACCTGTGTACCGATTTGCATGATTGGTAACCAGGCAAAATCTAATTGCTAAAATAGAGAGTTCAATTCCGACACTTTACGGGATCAAAAGACATTTACTAGGTTTCGAATTGTCACAACCAATCAACACAAGTTAGCTATGATAGAGCTGGGAACAGTTTTAAAGTTCCTGGATAGAGTCAGCAATATCTTCCAATCAGATAGTAAGAAGCATTCAGCCCGCAGACTGTCCATCGTTCAACTCTTAATAACGTCTCCTCGGAGACGTTAATCATAAAAGTAAGAATGAATAAATAAAATAAAAAAAAAAAAAAAAAAAAAACCAAGACAATATCGATAATTCGCTAACCTTCGAACTCTATGGAGTTGCATAGTATTTTATGATTCTATTTATATTCCAGTAACACTTGCATCACCGACTGGAGCGTCGTTTGCAGGTTACATCCTAGGAGCTAAAGACCAAACAACTTTAAACAGTAATCTTGGTAGATTTACAAATACAGCGACAGGCAGAACATTAAGTTGTGGCACATCGGTACTTTTCAGTTTTGTGATTTATATACTAATATAAGATGGTATTATACGAAGATGTTGTTAATAAATCGTGTTGACAAATATTTCGGCTTAACAAATAGCCTTCTTCGGTGTCAATTATTTTAACAATACTGATAATATGTATAAAAATAGCTCAATTGTTTTAACAATACTGATAATATGTATAAAAATAGCTCAATTGAGCTATTTTTATACATATTATCAGTATTGTTAAAATAATTGACACCGAAGAAGGCTATTTGTTAAGCCGAAATATTTGTCAACACGATTTATTAACAACATCTTCGTATAATACCATCTTATATTAGTATCGTTGTGCAAATCTCTAGACTTATATAATTTTTTCCTTATCTGCACAGTATCGTCTATTCTAGACGATCCGGTACATAGTAAATTTGCTGGTTGATCCTTTTTATAGACTTCTATATATATATATATATATATATATATATATATATATATATACTATATGATGAATAAAATAACCTTAACCACTTCTAGAATGATTCATTTGGTTGAAAAATTTATCCAAGTTAATTAATATTTTGTTATCTGATTTAGGTGAACTAGTTATTTGAGTACAAAGAGTTTGGCAAATACAGCATTAAAAAAGCTAAATATTTTCATGAGGTTAAATTTCAGTTAAATGGCAATGATTTTTTTGTCTTCTAGTTTGAAGTCGCAAACATTTTGTCAGTGATTGGTAATTTTCTACTAAAACCTCTGTATACTAACATTGTTATTGAAGGGACATGTGGTATATCACTGATATATAAGAAATCATACACTGTTTTATTTGTTAGGGTGCTGGTGCTGTTACTCATCAAAATAGCCAGCCGGAGTATCAACTACAGTTTCAATGGCAGCCAACAGCTGACACTACTGGTAATGTAGTTTTTATGTAAGTAATGTATTTATAGGTCACACCATATAATTCATTCCATTCTTTTATATTTTGCGATGGAGAGTAAATTACATACAGATTGAGTATAAATGATTTGGGTATAAGTTACAACACTATTTTTTAAAATGTTATTTGGAGAAATAAAATATTGATGTTTTTCCAGACAAATATTGTTTGTTATGTTTAAAATGATAACATGAAAAATAAGTTATACTTTGTTCGGAGTACTTCTCTAGTCTGGAAAGAATTGAAATGCGAGTGATATCCTTAACTATTTTATTCAATCAATAAATTAAGCTGAATATTCATATGTGTTTAATTTTAGAGCAACGGTTGTGGAATCTTATTCAACGTTTTGGCTGAACATTGTTACTTCTACAATTTATCCAGAGGTACAAACTACGCAGGCATCTGTGGTACAAACACCTAAGGTACCAGAAACGACAACACAACCGGTAACAGAATCCTTTCAACCGACTACTATCACTACTAGTACTACTAGAACTACTACCATTATGCAAACTACTAAAACTAGTATAGTATGTACTACTAATTTATTTTCCTTTTTTCTTCTTTTTTTAACATTATCACTCTAATATTATAATAAATATTTTTCATTGGTGATTGATATATTTTAAACTCATTTCGGCAATGGTTCTATATTTATTTGATTACATAAGATATAAATTGCATTCTGGCGTTCTGGTTGTTCTGAATATTTAGGAATTTCCGTAGTTGTTTATTAAATATGAAGTTGTTAAAGTTGAATGAATATTTTGTAGCTATTATTGCCGTTTAACTATAAGCTTGCCAATAAATAAGAGATGTCTGCTACCAATTTAGAAAATTCCAATTTCAATTAAATTCGAATTTGGTTTGGTAAATTTTCAAGAACTATTCTTTATATAAATTCTTCAGGTAGTGATTTTTGGCGGACTACTTTTCGATATACCATGTTCATCGGACGATTTTGAACGAATAAGCACACAACATGTCAGCTTGAATTCACGTTACACAAACAAAACAAGGATGCGTTTGATACAATCGGCGGTTGTTGAAGAAACGGAAATAAAATATTTCAAAGATTGTTTCTCAGTTTTCAAGAGTATATTGCTTTGTAATTTTATAAACTGGAACAGTATTCTTACACAATACCACTTTATATACATGTGTAAACAAAAGCAATTCACCCACAAACTTTACTTAAAAACGTTCTTACGTTTTTTCGTTTGTGAGTGAATTTGTCCCGTTTACACACTGGGTTTATATGTAAAGTTTGTGAGTGATTTTGCCCTGTTTACACACTGTGTTTGTATGTAAAGTTTGTGAGTGATTTTGCCCTGTTTACACACTGTGTTTGTATGTAAAGTTTGTGAGTGATTTTGTCCTGTTTACACACTGTGTTTGTATGTAAAGTTTGTGAGTGATTTTGTCCTGTTTACACATCGAACTTTTATGTAAAATGTTTGAGTGATTGCTCCAGTTACACATCAATATCCAGAAATGATTAATCCTATAATAAATTATCAATCTTAAAATAACAGAAACCAACCCGAAACAACAATAAAAACGAATGCAAAGCACACACTCACTTCATCAGCACATTTCCAATTCAGAATGATTAGGGAATTTCCCTCTGATAATGAATCTTTTCACATTTTTTTCTTGGAATATTTATAAGTTTCCTCATGTTGACTATCTTTTCAGTTACCGGGAGATACTAGTTCTCTGAAATCCGATTCTGAGTGTGGAGCTACGAAAGGATGTTTTATAGATTGTACTGGTAACTCATGTAACTATATTGTAACCTGGAGAGATAATGGTGATGCAGTGGACTTTGAACTGTCAACAAAACTGCAAGACACAAACAATAAATGGATTGCCATTGCCTTTTCGAGTGACATTAAGATGGTATATTTTTTTATTATCTTTGTTGCAATTATCGCAATTTAAAGTCATAATTTGCTACCTCATAAAAAACCAATGAAACAAGTGCTAAATACTAATATATTTGTTGATTTGATTGATTGATAGTCGTTGATCTCCGCTTTATCGCATGTCGGGGAAAGAATAAATATTTGAAAACGAAAATTGAACAAAAATACTTTTTATGCCAATATATAAAAAAAGACGTGGTATAATTACCAATGAGACAGCTCTTCGCCAGACACCAAATGACTTAGAAGTTAACATATGTCACCGTACGGCCTTAACAATCAGCAAAACCCATACCGCATAGTCGTCAGCTATAAAAGGTAATTTGTTTTAAAAAATAAAACAGAGAATCTTATTAGTTTACATTTGATTGTTATTTAACATGTCATTAAAGACACTTCACATGATAATGATTATTATTTTCTTTTTAATTTTTTCAGGGTGGAGATGAAGTAGTGGCCTGTTTTAATGTTGGTGGTAGCACAGATGTACAACGGAGCTATAATGACGGCAAAATTAATACTCAAGTTACAAATGTAATTATCTAACAACCTAACATTTCAGATGTAATCGATTATCATTACATCTGATATGTTGGTGACTTCGGTAGATAAAGGCCATTCCTTTCATTATAGCAGCTGATTTATGAATATTACGGATGTTTGAAGCCTCAAAAACTTTATTCTGGGTACCTCTTTTAATAATAGGAAAGTACATTTGTTCAGTTCGAATATGTATACGAAATGATAAATATATTCTGATGTTATAAATAGGACTGTATTTTTTTTGGATTTTTTTTTTATAATTGTTAGGATAACAGAACTATATTCACATACCTAACATGTTATGATAAACTGTCAGATGGGGGAATCTTTGGTGTTTTTTTGTAGAACTGTGTCAAATTTTTGTATTGTCAAAGAGAGCTGTCACAATTGATTGAGTATTAAGGTGAACTCGTTATAACTGTTAAGAAAAACTATGCCTTTTGTCATTTCCTTCTCCAAAAATTTCAAAAAAACTTTCATATAGACTTTATTTGCACGATTTGGTCTGACTTGTGTGTCCGTTGTGATAACCCCTTTGCCAATTGACCATCCTCGGCTCTATCAGTTTCTGAAACTTTTTCTTGCTCTTCGGTCCTTGACTGTTAGTAAATTTAGAAAAAAAACAGCAGTTTATGTTCATAACACTTTGTTTCAATGTCTTATAACTTGTTGTTCAAGTTTTTAGCTAAATCTATTACTGTAGTAAGTTTAGCAATGCTTCCTTGCAATGCTTGATATGCATCATGCTCATTCTATTGAAACTGTATACCTGGCGTATTTTGTATCTGTTTACAAGTTTTGTTTCAATTTATAGATTTTAAATGTTATCCATTTTTTCTTCGATCTAGTTTTGTCTATTTCATTCCAACATTCGATATTTTATGAAGATCTCTTAGGGAAGTTCTAATAATCTTTTGGGATACAGAAGACAGAGAAATATTGTGACAAAAATAAAAAAGAGCTCAATTAAAACATATTTTTATGAAAGAACTGCTGGTGGTCCAAAATCAACAACATTTTATTCCACTATTAAACCATTTTTATCAAATAAAAGCATTAGATCAAACAATAACATAATTTTATATGAAAATGATAAAATTCTCAGTGATCCTAAAGAGGTATCAGAAATTTTCAATAAATTTTTCATAAATGTAGCTAAAGATATAGGAGATAAAAACATAAAAATAGACAGAAATCACCCAAGTATAATCAAAATTGAAGAAAATAAAACTGATTATAATGAGTTGAATTTTAAACCTGTAACAGAAGAGTTTGTGAGTAACCGCACGATTTACTTTTACTTAAATTGGAAGCATACGGTCTATCTAAAAATTCTCTAAAATTATCAAAAAGTTATTTAGAAAACAGAAAACAACGCATTAAAATTGGAAGTTCTTACAGTGAATGGGATCGTATGTTTAAAGGTGTACCACAAGGGTCAATTCTTGGTCCAGTTCTTTTCAATGTCTTCATAAATGACATATTTCATTTTGTACAAAAAAGCACCATTTATAATTATGCTGATGATAACACTGTATCATATAGTGATCATGATTAAGATAAAGTTGTTGAAAGTTTAGAAACTGATAGTTTAAATCTAATAAACTGGTTTTCTATAAATTTAATGAAGGCTAATCCTGACAAATTCCAGGCTATAGCCATTGGAAAAAAAACAAATAAACATAATTTGATATTTAATTTAAATGGAAACAAAATTTTTTGTGAAGAAAATGTTAAACTTCTTGGAATAACTATAGATTCGGACTTAAACTTTAACAATCATATATCTGAAATATGTAAAAAGGCATCAAGACAATTAAATATTCTAAAACGTATGGGTAAATATTTAAACATGCTAGGTAGGTTAACAGCATACTACTCATTCATTCTTTCGAATTTTAACTATTGTCCAGTAATTTGGCACTACTGTAGCGAAAAAAATTCTTTTAAAATGGAAAAAATTCAAGAAAGAGCTCTAAGATTCATTTATGAAGATTATGATAGTCCATACGAAAAACTGCTAGAAAAATCTAAATTACCATCTTTAAAAATAAGAAGAATAAAAACAATTGCAATAGAAACATTTAAAATAATTCACAAAAAAAGTCCGAGCTACCTTCATGATTTGATTGATATAAAAATTAACAAGTATGATTTAAGATCACAGGAAACAGCAGTACTCCCAAGGGTCCGAACTACTAAGTATGGCTTAAAATCGTTTCGCTATAATGCTGCACAAATCTGGAATGAGCTGCCGAACCATTGTCGAACGGAAACATCTTTTGACCAATTAAAAAAATTGGTACAAACATGGGATCCAAGTAACAGCTCATGCCAGTGCAGTGCATGCATATAGTGTTATACCTGTGTTTATTCTCTTTTGACTATTTGACTTGTGCAATCTTATTATTAACTTGCGCTATGTTTTAAGTGTACTATGCTTTTAACTTATATATGTCATTTATGGTATCTTACCATGCATTATATGTTTAAAATTGTATTGTTTTCATGACTTTTGTATGTGTGTATTGTATTTTGTTATTAAGTCGATTTGAAAAGCTCACTAGAGCTTGTGTTTATGTAGTTTATGGAATATCGACTCTAAATAAAACTTTGAATCTTGAATCTTGAAATGGAAAGAAGTTTCCATTTAAAGAGAGAAATCATATCGGAAATATAGGCTTTACCCAGACACACAAACAATACAATATTATATAACTTCGTTCCGTGGTGTATAATTACATGTCCTCTTTGCGCAAGATAAACTGAAGGCCGTTTTAAGTTTCTTTCATAAAGAAAACAAGATCTAAAGTAAATAATTGTATTCATTTATAAATTTAGACAAATTCTAACTTGAATTGAACATTAACATAACTTTTTAAACCATGTTAAAGTTTAATAAAATATTTAAATTGGTTTTGTTCACATGTCTAATCACATTAACAAAATTATAAAATTTGTATCATGAAATTTGCAGAACAAGAAATACATAACTTGCTACATGCCCTTTTAAGGGTTGGCAAATTTAGGGGTGATGTTGAGGGATACATTAATTTTACATACAGTATATATGCATTCAAAATTAATCTTATAGCCGTCAGCTGGACTGTCAAATACAGTGGTTACAGTTCAAGATGGAATGTTCAAATGTAGTTTTCGAAAGAACAAGCGACTATCAAGACGTAAAAGACAAACCACCAGTTCATTGTTTGTGGACTTAGATAACGACTATAACTTAATGTTTGGCACAGGACCGGCTTATCCAGGTATGTTGTTTATGGACTTAGATAACGACTATACCTTAATGTTTGGCACAGGACCGGCTTATCCATTCAAGTATGTTGTTTGTGGACTTAGATAACGACTATAACTTAATGTTTAGCACATGACCGGCTTATCCAGGTATGCATGTGATACTTGTCTGAAGCAATGATTGGTCGATACATTCCTCTGTTATCAATATATAAATTATCCGATGAAGTTACTCAAAGAAAAATTCAAAAAGAACAAAATGAAGGTAAAAGCAAATCAAAACGACACACACAGTGCTATATATTGTCTTGTTAAAGAGAAAATGTTTTTTTAAAATAATATGGATAATGCATACTCTATCGATATAATAAAAAGAGGGGTTCCGTATAAGTCTTTATAACGGATAATTTCATAACAACGGTTATTATATCTCGTGTTAAGATGCTAGGTTTTATTGGTTAATGCGATGGTGCCAATCTACTCTAACACATAGCTCAGGGTGTAACAATGTTTTCAGTGTAAGGGAGCTACCATTTAATTTCTATGGAGAAAAGGGGGGCTAGGATGAAAAAATTGTGTCCTGCATTTTTTTTAGGTGTAATCTCTGTCCTCTATTCACTTTTTTTCACTCCGTTCGGTCCTGCCTTTTTTTGTTGTTGCAAAGTTGTTCATCCTGCCTTTTTTTTCAAATTTCATCCTAGCCCCCCCCAAAAAAAAAAAATCAAATGGTAGCTCCCTGACCTTCTACTGCAGTGCAATCAATAATTGAAAATAGTCAATAATTCAATTTTAAATCAATCATTTCAAAGGACAATTATTAAAATGAAAATGATGTTCATTTTAAACAAATGATTCAAAGGTCAATTACTCCAGCTCAATGATTGGTTAATGAAGGTTACTCCAGAAACCTGTGTCGTGATTACGGACATAAGGGGCGGATCCTTGATTTTTGATAGAGGGGGCGTAATTGGTGAACACGGAATAAATAACGCCGAGCGTAGCAATGCAAATAAAAAAATGGATTAAAGGCTAAAAAATCATATAAATCGTGTGAAACATCATTATATATATGTTTTTTTTAAAATATTTTTGGCGATCAAAAAAGGGGGGCGTGCTATTTACGCATTATCCTGGACTATCTGATGTGTCGTTTTGTATTTTCTGACGAAATGTGACTATGTTAGTTGTTCGAGGAAGTGTTTAAACATTGTCCATGTAATATTCTACTGTTATATATTATAGAACATGTATTTTTCAGGAAACAAGATAGGCATGCATTCAATAAATCCAGTTGTAACTCCTGGAAAAGTAGATTTCCAGTCATTTACCGTTATAGGCGATACAGCTAAATATCCATTAGTAAAGATTCATGGTAATTCAAATCATCAATCAGAATTTAACCAAAAAACACCACACCTCATCAGACTTAGTATTCTCATAAAAAATTCACGTGACATTTTGACAAATCACTTGTTTTTTTAATGATTGCTTTTCTATCTTAATTTGTTATACTCTGGTAATCAAGAATGATTTAAATGGTTTTATCAAAGTACATTGCAATTTCAAAGGCTGAAAACTATTTAATATCATTTTATGAGTTCATAATGTAAATGTAGGAGTTTAAAAAACAAAATTGCTGTTTTTAGAGATTTTGACATGACAGAATTAAATTGATCTTTGTATGAAGACTATTATAGCATTTTGGTCAGTTTTATTGGTTAATCTCTTATAACTTATTTGTGAAAAGTATAGCGTAGATTAATTCATCTCTCATTAATTCATTTGAAGTAATGCGCAATTATAAATAATAAATAATAAAATTGACATTTTTTGCAGCATGTTTGATGATTATTTCTTGGATATTTTGTACTGGAGTAGCCATTATAGCTGCGAGGTATTACAAACCTGTATGGTCTAAATCGTCATTGTTTAACCAGAAAATATGGTTTCAGGTGTGTACATTATAGCTTATCTAATAAATAGTGTCATTTCTGATAACCATATCAATCATGTTACATATCAAATGTATATCAAGGAAATACCTTGAGAGTTAGTGGAAGTTAACGGTGTCTACACATACTACACTTTAATAATCAATATCTTAAATTTTAAATTTCGATAAAAGATGATTAAAGTTTTCAAAGTTGTGTAACTTATTTGTTTTGTTTTGTCCTCTTCATGAGGATTTTTTACGATCCGAGCTAGAAAGCGAGAAAAATATTTCAGAAATCTTTTGAGAATCAAGAAAATAAGATTTTAAGTGATATTTGAATTGTAGACATATGTTTAAAATAAATTGTTATATTATAGAAAAAAACCAAAAGCATTATATAATGATGTGTAGTTTGCTTTTCTAATACGAAGTATAAACGACACATGTAAGATCATAACTGTCTCTTTTTATGACTGGTGTTCTGTCCTTTTTCGACTTTTTATTCTTATTACCTACTTAATTTTCACTAATTACAAACTTCTTTAAAGAATAAGTTGAAAAATTAAAAAAACGTGACTTTTGTTTTCTGTAATAAAAAAATATAAGAAGCTGTTAAAAAAAAGTAAAAACCTCTTAAAGCATTCAAGCACCTTTCTAAGACCTTTTTTTTTGTTGACTGGGTAGTTTGTCATTTCTTATCAATATATCATAGACTTTTTTTCTGTTTTCAGATTCACAGAACATTAATGGTTACAGCAATGACACTGACAATTGTGGCATTTATTATCATTTTTGTCGAAGTTGGAGGTTATAGTCAGGTATTTTTAAAATTTTAATGCAAGCAATGAACAAAATGCTCATACATTCGTAAAATTGTTCTCTGAGTTTTCTAAATCCTTTTACTGGTTTAGACTTTAGTGTATTATATCATGATATCTAATATGTCTTTCATGTGCTCCGTCTATCGATACACCCGTCACATCTCTCCGTCTGTCGATACATCCGTCACATCTCTTCGTCTGTCGATATACCCGTCACATCTATCCGTCTGTCGATACACCCATCACATATTGGAGTTTCTGTAGTTCTCAAATCAGTATTTGTCTTTCTTTACTGTGCAGTAACCGAAAGATATTTTGATGAACGGCGCAGTCAATATTTTGTATTGGGGGGAGGGGGTTAACAGATGAATATAAGGGTAATTATTTTCATGTTTCGAATCAAACGCTTTATTTGAAAAGTCCAGACGCGCGTTACATCTACACAAGACTTAACAAAGACACTGGAACCAAAAACATTTGGATGACCAATTCAATAACAAAGTTGTAGAGCATTGGAAACCAAAAATTCAAAACAATAGTGCCAAATCTGGCTTAGATCCTGTGTGCCATAGAGTTAAAAAAACCTTAGTACTTCGAATTATTTGTTCACATTTTATAAATAGAAAAAGGCCGTATCAATAATACTTCATGCCTGCACAGGAGTGCTTACTATACGACTGGTAATAAACTCGGGGACAAAACGTCCAGCAGCACTGGCTTCGGCCAAGTTGTTGGTAAAAATATATCAAAGATACCAGGGTAATGAACTCGGGGACAAAACGTCCAGCAGAACTGACTTCGGCCAAGTTGTTGGTAAAAACATATCAAAGATACCAGGTTTATAATTTACTATGACAGTAGCACGTTACAGCTACACAATAATACCTTTCTGTTAAGACTATTATTTTTTACACTTGATGTCTAAGACGGTCTTTGATTTACACTAAAACTTACTTTTTGTACTAGAGTATAATATTGCAAGTTGCATTCTTATCCAGCGAAAACTTTGATCATCGGATGGATTTTTTAGTGTTATATGTCAGCATTATTTTGTATATCAATTGTAAATCTCTGTGTATTGATTTTTCTCGATGTAACAAATACGTTCTCTAATATGAATTATATACCAATGTTTTTGCATTTTATAATACCATTGATCTTTATTTAAGGTATCTGCAAGTCCAGGAAAGGAGTATCTCCCATCACATCCAGTTTTAGGAATTATTGTAACCATACTATGCATATTAAATGTAGGTAAAACAACTAATTATATGTGAAGACATGGTTACATAGACATACGTTAGTTGAAACGAGAATGAACATGAAAATTTCATCACATAACTTTTTTGTATATGTTCCCCTGCTTTTGTAAAAATAATATCGTGTTTTGTCCGAAAAATTTAGATTTTCGCGTGTACCCGATTGAAGGTAATTGCAAGAACACATGTCGTACATACTTAAACGTGAATCACCCGTTTGTCTTACCTTTTGTTTGTTAGTCCATTACATCTTTATAGCGGATTGAAAGTTTCGCCGTTTGTTGCAGCTCATCACTTATCTGGATCTGGGTAACAATTATTTCCCCCATTAGTTAAATTCAAATTTAATCATAAATCAATGGCAGATTTTTTATTCCCTATTCTTGACTGGCAAATTTCAATTTCTTTCTTATACTTGTAGCCCCCTTCATTATTTACTGGATAATTCTCGAAGGGTCAAGGGTTAAGAGAGCAATACTGTTTCGAGTTTTATTCACTTCCTCGTTAAAGCGAAATTTAAATTTCGACCATTTACTCAGACAATCATCCACAATATTCATTCAGAATCACACAATATTTAATAGAAATTAAAAGTTCAATGAATATCATTTGAATATACTACAATGATTGGAAGTTTGTTACCCTAACCCGAAATGAAAAAATAAGTTCGAAGCAAAAACTATTCTCTGTGCATGAACATATTCTTTACTTATTTGCAAATAGTCTGATACATTGAAGAATAGCTTAAGAATTGTTGTTACTCTGCTTATCGTTTTGTATTGTGACCCAATTCCGTAATGAAAGTAGACATGCTTGTAAGTTCGTGAGCTAGCAGGTTTTCACGCATGTGCAATAGAACCTGCAACAATATGCAGGCAAAATCCTATTGTATTTATGAATTTGAACATATGAAAATAAATTTGCGATCTAATGACAGAAAAAAAAAACAATTAGGAAAAACTGAGAGTGATACTTACCTGTTTTTGTATTCTTTCAACATGCATGACGTGGGTACTGGACTGGTATTCTGTATTCTTGTCACTTTTAATTTGGCTTTTTTGTACTTTCCTGTGGAATTCGGATAATAGTTTTTATTAACGTAGATAGTTTGGTATCGTCTACCCGTTTGGTACATATCGTTTACTCATAACACATAATGTTTTTATTTTCAGCCAATAATGTCATTTTTTCGTCCGGGACCAAATGATAAGACACGTCCAATTTTCAACTGGGCTCACTGGGGAGTCGGAATGTTAGCCCAGATTTTAGCTAGTAAGTTAAATAGATTAGTTAATGACAAGAAAAAAACAATATGAAAAAGATATATAGTTGACGTCGTATGAACTTTTCTTAATAATTTTGATTCTGAAATAAGTACAGTTTTTTTTCAGGCAAATTTTTCTAGAATGTTTGATTATTCATCGAAGTTAAGTATACATTTGAAGAATGTTTGCAGATTTTTCAAATGGCGAAAAATAAGCCAATTGACAGCAACATTCTCGATGGAAGGTACTTCTGACAATTTCGTTTGATTTAGGTAATATCTCTCCAGATTATGTAGATTCCCCTAGTTTTCTGTAGAAATGAGTCGTATACCACTCTTCTTTCGAGCATTCAAAAATATGCCTCCTAAAGAATATCATTTTCTTGTGTGATAATCATTTATATCGCTTTTCTAGTAATAAATGATAAGTTTTGAACAAAAAATTGTCTTTCGAATCTTAGGTCCAGTTTTTATAATATAACTTAAAAATTTGATAATAGAGAAGAAGAGGAGAAGGAAATGTAATCGTTCAACTTAATTGTAATTGAAATATCTTTTTTACAGTTATAACAATAATTTTTGGAGTAGACTTACAAAAGTCTACAGCACCAAAGTATACAGTATGGGTTGTTGTTGGTTTTGTTATCTACTATGTCATTATGGAGATTACTCAGAAAGTAGTGGACAGATTAGCAGAAAGAAAGACAGGCGAAGGTAATCAGTGGCCTTGGTTGCTATCAAAATATTATAAATGTGGGAACTTGTTTTTTTGAATTTAAAAGTTACATATGTTTTCCTTTTTCTAAAATTGCAGTCTAATGTTGGCTTTCAACAAACTATTAAACTGCAGACAAAAACATAAAATATACCAATCGTTATTTTCTTGATTTTACTTATTAGAACAATATTTGACAAAGTTGTGTCAGGATTTTTTCCAAAGGATAAATAAGGCCATACAACATTTGTTAACTGGCGTTAGTTGAAAAACCTTCTGTGATAAGATTTTATAGTCTAAGAAAATGTAAACTATCTTTTACAGCACAAATCGATACAGTTGAAATGAAACAAAATGGTTCGCAAAATGGGTCCTTTAATGCTAATCAGCCACCAGCTTATAGTGAGGACAATAAAAATAAAAAGGTAGCTATTTAGTAGAAATACTTAACACAAAAGTGTACCAAATTTAGGGTCTCTATTTCTTCATGTATAAATTAAGGCGATAGTAGTTTACCGAAGTTCAAATTTCATAAATCGTTTAGGAAGAGACAAATCAATGTAACAAACAAATACTGAGGGGATGTAACAAACAAATACTGAGGGAATGTAGACACCAAATTCAGGACCTTAAAACATGTATCTCTTTTTTTGATTTAAGGCGTATTCTTTACGTTTTCCTATTGAGAATTTATTACAAGAGAATGTTTAGATGTGACTGTACTTCAAATTATTCTATAAATGGCGGTTTATTCTTTAAAAAAGATCAGTTGTTTAGCAATAAAAAAACAACAACAAAAATTTCAGTAATATTATCTAGCTGTGTATTCCGAACATGTGGACATACATTCTTACGTAATAAATTAAAGTAATAAAAAAAACATACGGGGTATATGTGTCAATGAGATATCAATCAAACGGTAGAATGCCGGGTTGAAAAACATGTACATGTCAAGATGCAACAGACACTTAAGTGTCTACACAATAGAACTGCGTGTTTAATTATAGAAAAAATAACTGTCTCACAATCCGTTGAACAATTAAATAGTTATTGTTTTATTTTGTAGGATACCTTGCTGAAGAAATCATTACTAGCTTTACATGGTATTTGTACATTGGCTTTCACATTTACACTGCTTTTACTGGTATCCATGTATTAAAAGCATTGGGAGAATATGAAACAAATATAACCACACTGTGTATCATCGATATAAGAAACAGCACCGAATGTAGGAGTTGGTCCATTATCATTTTTCCTTTCTCGTAATAATGAGAGAAAATTCTCATGGACATGACATGTTGTGACCTTGAAGCACTGTGACCTTTAAGCACAGACAATACACACATTTTCACCAAATAATGAAATAATGCAATTCATATTAGTATTGTAGCGACTTGTGTTGTGTAAATTGAAAATAACACTTTATTATGAATTCATACAAAAGTAGAAATCTTTCGTTTTGGTTTTATTCTCAATTCCGTCAGAACAACACTGTAATAACATTTGTTTTACTCATTTTATCTTTTGTCAGAAATTTGTTTAGAATCTAAAAAAAATCATATAAGAACATTTTTACTAGATTGATAATAACTTTAACTGCTATACCCTCCTCCCCCCAATTAAAAAAATAAGGATATAACTACATACATCAATATATTCTCCAGTTTTAGTTATGTGCAATTACGACATTTAAGCAATTCACTGGAAGCGTCTAGTTTTGAAACTTTAGAAACTGATGAAAGTCAAGTCTAATCAAATAAGATACATATGCAAATAAGTGCTGGAAGGAATTGGTACATTTGGATTCTAGAATACTGTCTCGTTTTTTGTTTGTGTTTTGTTTTATGTGTGTGTTTTATTGTGAATATTGTTATTGAGGTCGATAAGATCGACTAACAAGATCGGTCTTTTTCTGAAATAGATGTCCCAATAAGACAGTTAAAGAGTACATTAAAACACTTTTGTATAAAATTTAATGCTTTACGTATTATATATACTTTTCTAATGTTATGTTTGGTTGTATGTATGTCTCTACATTGAAAAAGCTTTACATACGATAAGTAAATGATTTAAGGCTGAACAAGAAACATATTTTTTTATACCAATCTGCTTTTGTGTGATGCCTATCGCCCACTATGTTTTATAAACGAGTTTAAACAGGAGTGTCACAATTGAAGAAGGAACTTCTGACCTTTCCTGAGCACTTTAGTTAACACCAGCCTTTTAATGGGGTTAGTGTAACTAAATCTTTAGTTATAAGTTTTGTGGTTCATTGTGTGTCTTTTCGTAGTTTACTTTTTGTCATGGCGTTGTCTATTTTCTTCGGCTTATAGATTTTTATTGCATCTTTAGTATCTTCTCCCAATTTTTATAGCTTTAAAGTGAAAAACAAAGAAATTGAGTAATGCACGAACTTGTTTAAAATCCGTTCTAGTTAAATTGCATCAGTATGTATCAAATGAGATTGATAAAAGGGTATGCCATGGAAAACCAAATAAATGCCTGTCTATATTACATTTTTCATTGCAGTTTTCTTTATATATTCTTAAAAACAATCTTTGTTAACAAAAAATCAATCGAATACATTAATAACTTAATGTAGTTAACAGGACAATCGTAAAAAATGAATAATGGAAAAAATGCTAGTGTGCGACAAATAATTGGGCAAAGTATATGTATTTTTTAAACCTGGTTTGATTTTGCCACTTGATAAAAGACTTTCCGTCTTGAAGTTTTTTTGTTATTTTACTTTTTGTTAAGTACGCGATGAGATGTACACATGCACGAATACTGCTATTTGGCTTAGAATCAAGAATATTTTTTTTCTGTAGACTTTACATCTCTATTATATTTTACTTGAATATTAGTACATTGATAAACACTGTAAAAGAAAATTCTAATTTTGGTTTATATTCATTATTTCAATCCTGATTGTGGCTTTTCTTCCAGTCAGATATCTTAAGTAACATTTCCATAGCTAGCAGGGATATTGCTGTTTCATTAAATCGCTGGTTTAGCCGATGATATAACAAGTTTGTACATTGTATCATTTGTAAACAGATGAGCAGGAAAGTTGATGTATGTTTCGCATATGATATAAATGTGTTTTCCCTATCATATTCCTACCAATGCTTTGTTAATAGGGTTACTGGCATTAAAAGAAATCTGATCAAGTAATATGCGAGAAACATACAAATGACTACCTTCCTAGCAATACCAACAACTAAATCAAAATGTAGTATTATGCCAGGATTTTATTGTTATTTTTTGTTTTAACATTAAATAGTTAATTTTGTATTATAGTAGTGCATTATTGAATTACAATCTGAGTTAAAAGTTGTATCATGTATGTATGTTTTCACGGTTCATGTAGGTATGTATGTATGTGTGTGTGTATGTATGTATGTATAGTATGATATGGTATGCATGTATGTATGAATAATGTAGAACGTTTTAATCAAAATTTGTAAATAGCGTTGAAATGATAGGTTAAAAAATGACTAAAATTGTAATTTGTATAGTGATAGTTCGGTTCTTTGAGATAAGAATTTACTGACAGAAACTCTTGTTTAATTTTGAAGCTATGTTCGGATATATGACAATTACATGTATATCAATTTAGATATCATTTCAAGTATTCTTAAATTTACTAAATGCATTTAGATATTTCTCATATAAAGCGTCCGTTATTGGATTACTATAACTATAAAGGCCTTTTTCGCAATTGTTTCTTTTTGATGAAACAACTTCACTATTGTTGATAAGAGTCATGTCGAAATCTAAAGAAGAAATCGGATAACGTTTGATCCGGTCAAGTAGATGTTTCAGAAAATGTTTGACTGGAAAATTACCTTTAGAGGTAAACTGTTAATTCTGTTTTTATCTTTGATTTTTTTTAAAGGATATTGTTCAAAATGAAAAGTTGTTTTACCGCAATCAGTATATTACTCATTCTTTCATCATTCATGGGTGCACAGCAGTTCTTTCAGCCTTTAACACGTTTCTTAGAGTAAAAAATAAAGGGTAAGATGCATACTACCGTTTGATTGTTTGTAAATGTCGATTTCATATCAGTTGAGTCAAGATGCATTGTTACTGCCATTGCAACCAATAACCAAGAAATGTAAAACATTGTGCATTGAATTCTCTGTCGTAAGACAGACTGGTGATACAGATATGAAATTTACTGCATTGTTATTGTAAAACAGGGGAAAATGTTGAAATACACTGTAAATTTATATTTTCATTCGCCGTAATTGTTGATCGTGATATACATATGCTAGAAACAATTGTCTTTGTATTGCGTCTTTACTGTAGATTACCAACGAAATGCAGATTAAAAACTAATCTCTATAGATCTACAAAACTTGCTATATTTTTCTTATGCCAAACATAAAGGTTAGGGGAGGGTTGAACAGTCAGAAATATGTTTAACCCCAACGATACACATTTTATGTGTGCCTGTCCTCAGTCTGTAATTCTAGATCGTTTATTTGGGTTTACTTATATCATTTTTTATGGGGGGGGGGGGGGGCTATCTCGTTGACAATATTTGTTTCTCATTCTAATAAAGTTAATCTACAAAAAAACTTTTGAAAAGGCATTGCTGAGTTGACATTAGTCAAAAAGTCTCGTCCAACGTTGTGAAAACATTTAAAATCGTGCATATTTAAGACGAGGATAAAGATTTATATCAAACAAGTAGATATTTTAAGGTAGTTTTGTCCGGAAAGTAGGGCAGATGTTTTGGACTGTCACTGGAAAAAACCTTTCTGGGAAGCAGAATAGCAGATGGGTGACCTGTTGACTGCTAAAAGAATTATTCGCAATGATTCTTGAGAGCAAAGACAGCTGGGCACTCGCTAAACTAGTTGTGTTTGATTAACATCCACAGTCCAACAGCTCTCAATCCATTCAACTCAAGAAATGTTTTTGCAGTTTCAAAAGGAATTCGTAAAAATTATTTCTTGACAACGACATTCCGCCATTGCAAGCATCTTGACCGAGAAAATATAATGAAATGATTGATAATGTATCTGAAACCGCTTCTGTTTTTACAATAACCTTCAGTTCTAACTGATAATGATGGTGATGTAGATCTCCTTAGATCTGAGGAATAGCAGAAACGATCTACATTAAAATATTAGAACAACATTGTAACTACTTCATAAATTCTCTCAAATAATTCTTGATGGGATCGTTTGAAAAAGAAATTATTTTCCAATTAGTCTTACTCTTTTATTCATTTAAAAGACAAGGAATGATGTAAAGCAACAGAACAATCTTGCAAGTAAAAAGAGGCATCTCAAAACAGAAATGAAAGAATAACAGTCAACACTCTTACGACTAGTAATGTTATGTACAATGTACAGTATAACAGTTGCTTTCTATAGGACTAAATTAGCACTAACAGAATCAAATTACCTTATTGACCAAAATTTGTCATACGATTTCAATGTTAGTTGGATTGTAAAACTATGCCAATGTTTGCTGAAAAAAAAATTCCGGTGTGAGTTTTTTTTGGATGTCAGGAACGTTTATTGGTATAGAAGAGTACAATTTTCTTTCAGATTCCATTATTCGCATCGCATCGACTAATGGAATTAGGGTTCCAAAGGTACAGATAAGTTTACTTATTGACTCGTATCTAGATATTGGCAATAAGGGTCAGTTGAGAACTAAACTTGACAAAAAGAAGATGATTTCAATTTTCAAATTGTGAATTTTCCGTTTCGCTGTAGCAAAGTTTCAACAGCTTATACACATATCTCCCGTTTGATACAATAGTCCAGGGCTTATAATTCCTGTCATGATTTCTATGATAGAGTGTTAAATTGTTAATTACACGAAAATTTTAAACCAATGGCACCAAATTGTAAAGTTTATATCATCCCCTCGAATGTTTTACGACAGCAATCTAGATTTGTTACACGTTATAGAAAATATGTGTCAGATATGACCACAAATCGGTCCCTCTTGTCGTATTCACAATAACTCGCCTTTTTCTCGATGATATGACACATTGTATAGTTTATCTTGACATGAGCACCACGATGGGTGTCACAAATGGAACAGGAAATGCTTATCCTTTCAGAGCACATAAGTTCACACCGTTAGTGTTCGTAATGCTCAATCTTTAGTTTGCTGTGAAGTGTTATGTGAACTTGTCCCAAGTCAGGAGTCTGTAATTCAGTGTTTGTCGTTTGTTGCTGTATATCATATCTGTTATTCGTTTATTGTTTTGTTCATAAATGAGGCCGTTTGTTCTCACGTTTAAAATGTTTTACATTTGTCACGTCGGGGCCTTGTATAGCTGATTGTGCGGTATTGGTTTTGCTAATTGTTGGCGGCCGTACGGCGACCTATATTTGTTAACTTCTATGTCATTTGGTCTCTAATGAAGAGTTGTATCATTGGCAATCATACCACATATTCTTATTTTAATATTGTTGGTCTTTTCAACTTTTTCATTTTAGTCACGTTGTTGTCTGTTTTTCTTACATCTATAGTTTTTGCTTGTCCATTCGTTATCTTCTTCTCCTGGTTACGCAAAAGAATTACATTTTGATCGACACATACAAAAATAAAAGATGCAATGTAATATAAGTGGACACGGCAACAATTAGGTTTAACATCTGTACTAAACTTCAAAAACAAAGATCATATAAACTGGCATTTTCTGTAAATATCTCTCAAACGACTGTTACAAATATCCCGAGAGTTGACATACTACCTAACAATTATTCCATTAACGTCCAAAGTAAGACCAGACTTTGTGTGAAAATTTAAAAATTAAAACAGAAAAAAAAATTTTACAATGTCTGTTACTACTTTTTTTTAGCATTTTAAACCAAGTTAGTCAAATAGGTCATATTTTTTATGTTATTGACAAAGTTTTGAAACAAAAGCAGTGGTTTAATCTTGTTTTAATTGAGCTTTGACAGGCATAGAATTTAAAACACTAGACACTAATACTACCCTAGACTAATCAGAAATGAAAAAAAGACCAGGTTAACACTCTTACGACTACTTATGTTATCTAAAGTACAACGGTTGCTTTCTATAAGACTAAATTAGCGGTAACAGAATCAAATACCTTTTTGACCAAATTTGTCGTACGATTTCAATGTTAGTTGGATTGTAAAACTCCTCAACTAAGCCCTCGATCAGCATATCAAACCTTTCACAAATGATACTCGTAACACATCAGACGACATCATAGTACATTCACATTTACAGCTGTTGTAATGCAAATGTCTCAATCTATGGAAGAAGCGAATCGATAAAAACGTTTCTTATATGAAATAGCGATATTGTCTAATATGAACGAGTTGCATTGTGGGAAATCTCAGACGATTTTTTACATTTGTATGAAGAAATGAAGATTTCTGGGTTAGTAATGACTATTCTTCTTAAAAATGTTGATTAAATGAAACATAAATGCACGATTTATCAATTGTAGATGTACACATTCAATTAATATCATTTAGCAAAATTAGTGGAATTCAATTTCGATGAATTCAATTGTTTTCTTAACCAAAAATCACCTATAATTCATTGATACTGCTATATTTTATAATATGAATGCGATATTTTTCTAATATAACAGCGATGAGTTTTTAATATGAAAAAATTATGAATGCAAGATTTTTCTTATATAACTGCGATAGTTTTCTCATATAAAATAAATACGATAATAAGTCACAATGTAAGTCAAGAAAACCGGAAACATAATTCACAATTATTGTTCATGACAGGTTTAATATTATAGGCAAAATATCACTAAAATTTCGTTTCCTGTAACAAAATTAACGCTTAAATGTACTAATCATCGGTGCTTTGCTTTTGCGCCAATTTGAATTTCATTTGCGCCAAAATAAAACATTTCATTTGCGCCAATAATACAGGTAAATACAGGTAATTGTATAAAAAATAGTTTTATTCAAAAAAGACTTTTAATAGTTACGTTAAAACACAATTTTTGATTGCATAATAAAACATATTCCTCCAAAATCAGTCATTAGTAACCATAATGAAAGCACTATACACTGATACGTTCTTGATAAGAGACTTTCTTAATAATGTTAAAACACAGTTCTGTTATGAATTAACGAGATCATAGAAACTAAAAGAAAGCACTATACACTGGAGTAAAACCAAAAGTTTGTTCTGACACAAGACTCGTAGGCAACAGCTCGGATGTACTCATGTACACTGGATATATGTGTGGTTATAAAAAATTACAGACTTATTTCCTCTATATACAAATAAGGAGATGTGTTAAGATTGTCAACGAGACAACTATCCACCAAAGTTTTAATGAAGTGGATGAAAGCCATCATAGACAACCGTACGGCTTTCAAAAAACCATTCCGTATAGTCGGCTATAAACGGCCCAAACACCCAACATGAAAAATATGAAACTATCAAATTCTGAGAAAACTAACGGCCTGTTTGTCTAAGAATTGACAATGTCCATCTTAACACCTCAAACCTCAAAAATGTGAACACTATATAATTCTAAACCTAAGTGACTCTCAGTTTTATATTAAAAATAAGTATAAACTTACAAAGTTACCCAGGGGGAAAACTTTCAACAAAAAAAAACCTATTCACGATGTTGTAAGGAATATTTTAGACTTTTCCGTCATATGTTACCTGTAAAATGGCACAAATGAAATATAATCTTGTGGCGCAAATGAAAGATTGGATTTTGTAAAAATTGGTGCAAATGCAATGCGCCCCTTATCATGTCGAAAAATTTTGTTTTACCCTATCGATAGTTGACAGTGTTAACAACCTGCTAAGTCCATTATTTTCGATCATATGGTTATACCGAGTAATTCTATTTTCAGTGGTGATGCTATGACGGAATAAAAATGTGGCTACTGTGAATATTCCACCGACCTATTTGATTCTATCAAAGATCATGCTGTAAATATCCACAAAGACAAGGAAATAATATTTTTAAAAGAAAAAAACATTCAGACAAACAATTCAATCCAATACGGTTCCCAATTACACCTGGAAATGAATATTCAAATGGAAAAATAATTATTCCAAACAAAGAAAAATGCACAATTACTGTTGTCCCGAACTTTGAAGATACCATCTGTCATCCTAATAAAAAACTTAAAACAAGTAATGAAAATCCAATTGAGCAGCCGCCTCAGACTATAAATAAAACAACTTTAGATACCACGAATGAAAAATATTGTCAAACAGAAGATGTATATATTATTAACATTGAAAACTTGTAGACAAGGAAAACAGTTCTTATTGGATATCAGAGACTTTTTCCCGTTGGAAAGATGCTAACAAAAACATTTTGACCTTTAGCAGTGACATTAAAACTGCTTATTAACA